TTTTTTAATTAAGAAAATCTACTAAAATTTATTTATTAAAAATGAATATTATGATATAAAAAAACTGATAAATAATGGAAGGAGGACAATTCCTTAAACAATTTGATTATAAGCAAAAACTTGAAAAACAGAACATGAAAATAAAGTATTCAAGCAATGAAACATTCAAGAATATTATCGCAATTTAACGATAACAAATGAACGATAAAGGTAGAAATTTATCGTTTAAATTATTAGCTTATCGATAAAAAAAAATAAAATGACTAAAGTATGATTTATAATGATAATAAATAACTACAATTTTCTATGAAAAATTCTGAGATGAAATATTTGAAAATTAAGAATTAAATCGCGTTCATTTTTTTCCTTATAGATCTTTTTTAACGTTACATTAGATTCATAAAAAAATATATGAATTTATTATATTATTTATTATATCATCATATACCAAATATATCATGATATTACCAAATTTTATATAAAACAATAATGATAAATAATACTTACCAATATAAAGTGACACTTGTCTAATGCTCTATATACATTTTATATAGAGAAATAGTGAATAAATAATAAAAGCAAGATGATATAAATAATTACTTACTGAAGTAATTAAGAGTCTCCCGGATTTGGTCCGGCGATAATTTTAAATCAGTATCGACAGATTTTAGGGCAGGTGATGGAATGAACCAATCAGCGTTTTCGTATCCTATAAATAACAAATAATAAATAATAATATCATATGATGAAAAATTATAATAAATTTAACATTTAGATGTAAACAGATACGACGTTTTGATTTGAAATAATATAATATAATAAAAAATTGCTACCAATTTAGAAACAAAAATTGTAAAAAAACATTTCTTTTAACCAACCAATAATAATTTTCAATACTCTTCTAAATATAATTACTGAATGTTTGCTTCTAATTTACATAGCATGTGTAACTTTTGAAACAATCAACACCGTTGTTTCAAAATATTATGGACATATTAAATATGCGTATAAAAAGTCTGGAAAACAATTCATGAAAAAGAAACCAAGAAATTTCTGTCGAAATTTTCTGATATGTGTATTTATTTTACGCATTTTGCAACTTTTAAATTTAATGCAATTAATCTTTTTACATACATTTAGTACATTTACATACACATTTTAATGTAATTTAATGTAAATTAATCTTTTTATATCTTTTTGTATTGTATTTTTTTATAATATTATTGCATATAAATTATATTAAATATATTTTGCTCACAACTTTTATCTATAATGAAGATATATATATATTTTTTTTTTTCATATAAATATATTCGTGAAAATATAAATTTAAATATCATTTGATTTAACATATTTAATATGCTGAATAATATACACATATCCTATTTACTTGTTTATTTATTTATTTATTTATTTATATTTACCTTGGAATTGAGTAAGGGTGTCAGCTCGTAAACGGTACCTAGGTATTTGTTCTTCTAGCAAACTGATGATCTCAACTTCTGGTAATTCACCTCCACTGCAGACCTCTACAATACATTTCATTCCATATTTATACGTTATTGATATTAAGTTATTTTAATAAATAATTCAATAATTCTATTTTTCATAATAAAATATTCTTTTAAAATTTTGTTTTTCTATACTTTATTGTATGTATGTATGATATATCAATGACACTTTGTTCTTATAATATTAAATTTTTCATCGTCAACGATTAATTTTATGTATCACATGGAAATTTTTAACATTTAAGAATATTCAAGAATCGTTATGTAGTATTTATTTAGTGAAATATTTATTTCAATTTTACCGTTAATTAAAAATTCTTCCATTTTATCGTTTTATTTTATCGCTTTCACAAAATATATTTATAACATTTCCTTTAATGTTTTACAATATGTTTACGAGTTTTATAACTTTCGTTAAGAAGCATTAATTTTTTTTAAAATTATTCGATTGGAAAATTTTGAGGAGAAAAAAAAAGAAGAAATTTAACATGAACGTTGTATTTATCGTATTTATTAATCCGTTCGAAGCGAAAATATTGAAAGAAATGAAATTGCGAGGTAAGAAAAGAATTTTCATTGTTAACGAGAACTGTAATTTGAGAAACACTGGCGTAATCGATTCCACTGCATATTGTCAAGCTAAATTAACTAGAAATACAAAGCCACTTATACCAATCCGATAGACAACTATGCTTGCTAATAATAATGTGCGTAATTAATAGAGTGAATGATTTTTTCGTTATTTTTTTATATACCAATATATAATAACCAATGCATCTTTTTTTTTTTAATAATACGATTCAAAATAAGAAGAAACTTTCAAATTCTGTTTCAATAGTATCAATGCAGGCAAATATAAGAGTTAAAATAAATGATCTCCAAATAGATGAGCCTTATGCATGCAATCTGAAAATGAAATAATTATAAATTTAGAATTATTTCAATTGAAAACATTTATTTTTAATAATTCCATTTTTGATAATATATTTAAGATATTTAAAATATGCACTCAATATGTAAAATATTAATTAATGTAAACATTATCGAATATATGATTTGTTGTAATTACGATCACTTTTTATATATTTTAAATATGTTTTCTTCAATTACAATGAAACATAAAAAATTATATATTAATTTTCACCGTAGAAAAGTAGTTTTCATTTTATAAGAAAGAAAAAAGATAAAGTAACGTTCGTCACTATATTTTAATTTTTGAAAATACGTTTATGTAATGTCGCTAGTGCTGCCATCCAGTAGTACGATCGTGAAATAAAACGTAAATTCAATCTCACTCGATAACTAAAGCTATCATCACTTATATCATGATAAAATATAACGAGAACATTTTTCAAAGTTTCTTTTTATAAAACAAACAAGCAATTTAAGATTGATTAAGAAAATAATATTATTGGAAAGAGGGAAAAATTGAAATGAACACTTTACAAAATTTCGTACCATTTCTCCATTTGTTAAGAATGCCTTCCTTTCTTTCAAGAATTTTTTTAAGTTTTGCAGGGCCATTGGGCCGATTAAGTTCACTGCTACCTAGGTACATAATCTTTAATTCCAATCAATTAATTTCAACTCATTTTACTCATAACTTTTTATACTTTCTTGAACACAATCATTTACGATTACGATTATTTAATTGTATTTGAAATTTTTTTATCACATATATCGTATTGCTACTTATTTGTTCACACATAAAAATTACTAACATATTTATATCATTTTTACATCTGTTTAAAAGTTCAGTCTGTTATCTCATCTGCAACGAATATACCACAAATGTATTACTAGGAATGACATAACTGTACAAGTAACGAATGACATATATACTATATATAAACATTAAATAAGAACTTTTACTGATACGGAAAAACAAAACACAACAATTTTTCAACCGTAAAAAAAAAAAAAAAAAAAAAGAAAAGTGTTATCGAAGAAACGTCGTGTGTGTAACACTAATAAATTAACACTAATATAATAACACGAAAGATGGAACACATAATTATAATAATTATAATTTCATAACTAGATAGATATAAATATTATTTGTATTGTTTCCACAAAAAACACTTTTAACATTTTCAGAAGAGATTATCAAAATTTTGTCACGCGCAATCGATGGTTACTTTTTGCATTGTTGCAATAAAAAAAAAAAAAAAAGAAAAGAGAGAATTCTAGAGAGTCGAGGAAACGATCACACGGATTCGCGAGTCGGGTTAGATCTTAGCGCTTAAACAGACGGAACAAAATAGCACGAATCTATTGGCTAGGAGCCAATCTCGTTTCTTTACGAACCCCAAATAGATCGATCGAAAAAAAAACATCGATTTCCATACATAAGTTTTCACTCTCGACAGTTCCACGCTTATTCTTTCTTTTTATTTCGTCCCAGTGATAATTCTATTCGGACGATAATCGATTACGTTACGTTAAAAATCAAATCGACGAATTTTCATCAAACAAATCTTACGAACCGCGTTTACACATTTTTACAAAATATATAATTTTCAATAAATTTTATTCATGGCAAAATCATAATTCTTTTTTTATTATCACCGTAAATAGAATAATTGAAATCGATTCGAAAAGTTCAAATTATTGCAATAATTTGTGAAAGGTTGAACAAAATTTTTTGGTTCTATTTTTATATATATATATATATCGATTTGACGAATAAAATTAAAAATATCTCTCTCTCGCTCTTCCTTGACCTCTTTTGTTAGGTGAAATTAGGACGAGAAGAAATGTTATCTTTTAATCAATTCAATTAATTCGTTCAGCATGAAAAACAAATGATAGATTTTTAAGTAGGAGAGCGTTAAGTGATCGACCCTTTATAGGTCGGTTATTTTTGAAGCCACGTAACCCGCGTTTCGGCATCAATTCGTCAGAATTGTAAAATTATCTTATCAGCTGATTCAAAACACCGTATCCGTTTCACACACTCAAAACACTGCTTAACGAAATTCATTGCAATATGAAAAATACGATAAATAAAATATAATATCGAATTGAAATTTTTCAAATAAAGACCCATCCATAAGACTCATGAGAATTGTTCGCAAAATAAAATCGAATATATAAAAATACCTTTATCATCGTCGTTCACATCGTTTCTTCCCATATAGAAATATCGTTTCAATTTTTTTTTTGTTAAACGACACAAAGATTTATCATACGTGATAAGAAAATTTTATAACGAAAAAATAGATGATGATGATGATGATGATGATGATGATGATGATGATGATGATGATGATGATGATGATCTGAACGATAATGATGATGATAATGACCGAGGAAAGTAATCATCGTTTGCCAGCGGAGAATGTCGTTTACCATGGAGGTGCACAGACCACACCATAAAATACTCGTTCACGAGAACGGAGAGGATAGTTTCTTCTTTGAGTTCGCAAAGATTAGAGCACTTCCTTCGCGGGGATAAACTTTGTTCGAGAAGTTTTATTCGAATTATTTGATCTACGAATTCGGTGGCTTTGTTAAAAATGTTAAAAGTGTTATTTTGTGCCACACTTTTCGTGTCATCCTTTCGTTTGCGATAGGAAAAGTTATATCTATTGGAAGCCGGGTAAGTCGTTAAAAGTTATTTTTAATCATTTTTTTCCCTTCGAAAATATTATTTCTCCCGTTTAAAATAAATTATATAACGTATGTATGCATGTATGTGCTGCAATGTATATTTAGTTATATTTAGGAAGACCTTAGACTTGAGTGGAGCTTATTTTTAAATGCATCCGGGATTAATAATGAAAAGATATGACGGTACAATTTCTTGATATTCCAAATTAAAAATGATTACTCGGTTGAAAAGCAATAATTCATGATGTTTGCAACGAATTAATAACAATCGTATAGAATAAACAAAATATTCTTTAAACAAAAACTAGCTTATAGTCGAAGCGTAAGATATTGGACAAAGTAAAATAAAGATAAGGAAATTGGATTTTAAGGGATAAGATTTTTGATAGGATAGTATAAATGTAATAAAAGAAAAGTATTTATGATATATTTTTATTAAATCGTCCCATAAATATATCTCGTTTCAAGAGTCCAGTTTTAATTAAGAAAAATAATAATGTGAAATGATTAATATCACAGTTTACCTTTATCCATCATATTTTTACTATATTGCTAACCAATTATCATAACAGCAAATAATTTTTCTTTTACAATTACTTACTACTGCCAATCATTTGTTTATCAAACTTGTTAGGATAAGTATTCCAAGTAAGATTCCAAGCAATCGATAATGATGCAGCTGTATTTTCAAAATGATTACAGATAGATAAAAAAAAAAAACCTACTAAAAGACGAACTTAAATAAATAATATATAAATCAATCTCAATAATAATTTTACACAATTTAATGCATTGATGTAGGGAATGTAATTGCATATTTTCTTAAATTATTCACCGAATTACTCGAACTACTGGGAAAAAATACTTCTGTCTATGAGTTGAAAGAAAAAAAAAAGAAAAAATCATAAATTTTATGATAAAATTGGTCTCTTAAAACGATGTTATGGGATGATCCACGATAATATCACGTAGAACGAGAGAACTAACCTGTGATGGTCTCGACGTCTTTGGTTGCCGTTGGAGGAGGGGTGAGAGGTGTTGATATTCTGTTTCTTGGCGACCGAAGGGCCTGCAGGGCGGCCCTTGCCTTGGGCGAGACTTTCGATCGAATCGAAGCCTCGGGCCCCTTCGAGGCGGCATCCTCCACGGCTGCCAGCTTGGACGCTGCGGCGACGAAAGATATCGCCTCACCTTCCTTCATCGTCGACCAACATGCGGATAAACAAAGAAAAAAAAGAAGAAAAAAAAAAAACCACGTTTACGTTAATTTCATTGTTGATCACTTCTCTGTACGGAAAATAGCTGATACATTCGCTGACCAATCGTGCACTGTACGAGGAGTGACAGATGTATCCACTACAAAGCAAAACGACTCTATCGAATCTATCAGCTATCGTTCAATTAATGTACATGTTACAAAATTTCCCGATTCGATTCGAACGTTTACTGTTTACATTCTGTATCTTTTCGTCTCGTGTTAAAAGTTAACTTAACCTTTCGTTTAATATTTAGCAAGTTAATATTAATTAATTTACGAACGATAATTAACGATAAATAAGTAAAGTTAAGTTGCGATATCGATTTAATAATCGTTAAAATCGATATTGGAAAATAATATTTCGAACTAATTTAATCAATTGCCTTTATTTCTTTTTATTTCTTCACAAAAACGGAGGAGAATTTATTCGAAAAAGTTTATTAATTGACTTAACTTAGTAAAAGATTCTTTTTCTTTCCCTCTTATTTTTATATAAAACGATCATAAAATTTTCTTACACCGTTATCTTTTTAAAAGAAATAATTTATTTTATAATTCCAATTTTCTCTTTCGTTTTAAACACATAATTGTATTACAATTTATGTAATTTTCCTAAGGAATAAAAAAATAGAACACAATTGATTTTTTATTTACGAAATCAATTTTTAAAGAATAAAAAAGGAAAAGTATAGCATTAATATAGCAAACATAAAATTTTTATAATTTCAATTCAAACGGAATGTGTGAAATTAAAATTAAAAAAGAAAAAAAAAAAAGAAAAAAAAAAGGATAAAAAAATTAAGTATTTGTAAGTTTGTAAAAATTCTATTGATATTTATGACTGAATTTAAGCAAGGATGAAGCATTGTTGGAATAAAAGAACGAATTCGAGCTATTAATACCGAAAAGTGCATATGCGCTGCATCCAGTGTACTGCATTCAGTTATCAAGTTCACGTTACACATGTGCCTTGTGTTTCCTTTAAAGACTAACATAAGCAAAACATTCAAAATATATAAGATGTTTCAACACGTTATTTCAGCATTATTGAATTGGAATTGGAATTTTTTCGAATTGAATTATATTAATTTCAACACATTTTATTATATTTCAATATCACTGGTTCATCAATTGTGTACGTGTGTTCTTTTTCTAATTCCCCCCCTCCCCCTTTTTCTCTATATAACATTAACTTTTCAATAAAGATTTTTAATAAAGATAATAAGATACTAAGGATTCCATTGATTGTTATTAATTCGTAATTATATACATAAAATACTCGAGAAAAATTTTCCAATTGATTTTATCAACGATACGTTATCACGTACTGATAAGATCAAAAGAAATTAAACGTGAGCTTTTTCTTGGCGTTACATTGCAAATGTCACGTATACATTAATTTATATGCAACATATATATTCTATTCTAATTTTTTAAATAATTATTTTAAAATAAATTTATTAAATAATTGTATCAAGTTACACATATCTAATCGAAGAAAAGATTTCAGAGTATAAAATAAAATTATATTTATAAATTGGATAAACTAATTCTATTGAAATAAACTACGCAAAGGGCTAAGATGATAAAAGAATATTAAATTATAGCTTTTCTATTTTTTTAACAATACTACCGTAAATTTATGGAAAAATTTAATAATTTAATTTTATTCGAATAAAAATAAAACTTTTGATGAAAATGAAGCAGAATCTTTTGCGACTAATTTTATATTATTACAGGAATATTGCATGTACACAAATATATATTCAAATAA